AATTGCCCAGAGGGCTTTATGAAATGTGTGTGTGCCAGGCTCCATTCCCCAGAAATACTGATAGCCCTGGTATGGGGCACAGTAAGGCACCCTCTTTTTCAAAAGCCCCTCAGCTGGCTACAAAGCACGGCCAAGGTTCAAAAGTTACTGCTTTGATAAAAAAAAATCATCTCCTACTTTTTTTGGTTCAGCCACTAATGTACAAAACCAAGTAATATGATGCTGTCTTAAACAGGAAACAAGAGATCCCCATTCTGAGGACTGGCAGCAATATACACATGATTAACGTTACACTTACATGTACAATATTCCATATTATCAGTTGTTGATAACTGCAACTAATCAGCTGCCAACTATAGCAGCCTCACCTAGAGAGAAGCTAGTATCCAGAAGCCCTGGTGTGGCTCAATTTTGATGCTGAACATGGGCGTGAGACAGGTGGAGCCAGGAGACTGTGAGGGAAAAAGATGTCATGTGACCTGACAAGTAACTGCCATAGAAATATCTGAGCAAATGACAATGCTAGCCACATTGCTCACCTGGGCTCTGGACCGGCATATTCTACTGCCTCCTAAACTTCTCTATCTGAGCACTTCAGGCTCAACAACATCTACAAGCTGAATATTCATATTGGACTATCCTACCCTTCCCCTCCCTTCCCTTCCCTCCACTGCAGTCCCGTTGACTTCCCAGCCTTTCTGATTGCATTGTGTATTCATCCGGGCTTCCAGGTGAGAAGCCTGGGTGCCACTCTAGGGTTCTCTCTTTCTTATGCTGCTCCATGTGCTTATCAACCAGTTCTGCCTCCTGATCAGCCCCGGAGTCCGCTGTCCTGAATCTTCCTGCTCCTGCTTCATCCACTGTCTTTGGCAATAGTCAGGAACCTTCTGTTTCCACTGCCGCCCCTGCAGTCCATCCCCCAAACCTCTGCTGCAGCCATCTTTCTAAAACACCAAGCTCAGCATGTCAGTTCACAGTCATTTCTCTTTCACACGGGACAAAATCCAAAGCCACAGTGAGGATGGAGATCCCTGTGAACTGTAGGTAGCTTCACCGTTTATTCCTTCTCATCCTGCCACTGGAATTATTAGCACTCTCAAGAACTTTGTTCCTATTGGCACTGCTTGTGTAATGTCCTTCACATCCTATTCTCTGGGGGAATAACCATATAACCAAATAGCTCGAATGAGTAATCCCTTCCATTTGTGGCTAAACCTTTGCTCCTCTCCATGTAGAATTAAAGACAAAAACGGAACCCAAAAGTCATCCTTTGTCCTGGGAAGATTTTTGTCATTGCTTCTGTGACATTGTTCCACACTTATTATCTCTAGCTCCCCCTTCCCCCAGTTGACTTCCAGACAACTTAAGGACAAGTACGAAGTCTAATTTATTCTCAAATCTCAACATGTGGATGGAACAGTGCAAATCACTCATCATGGCTCAAACATAAAGAAAATATGCAAATAAGAGCCTATGTTGTAATAGGTACCAATACTTGCCCTTCTACTCAAAGGGTAAACAATGGGGGTTGACTTACGTAATTATTTAAACTAAGTCAGGGTCATGTGTGCTGCCCTGCTAGTAATGGTATAATTGCAGGTGTACTTGCGGCTGTCTGCAAGCCATTCTCATCAAGTGCCTCGTCACCTACATTATAACTCGAGTCTTTTGTTAATGAGAAGTTTCAGATATATTCAGAAAGGATGCTTGGACTCTGGGTTTCTCCCTGACAACCCACCAGAATGAGATAAAACTTGGATCAGAGAGAGAAATTCCACTGCCCCGTGCTAGCGTCTCCATACTGCTTGCTAAAGCAAGCTAATGAAACTGGTAGGAGTAAAATTTATTCTAAGCACATGTAATTCACAGATGCTCAGTCCACAGGGCTAGTCATCTGATACTGCACTTCAGGGCCGTCAGGGATTGAGTCAAATCCAGCACTTACTTTTAGGGGCTCAGTAAACACGCCCCCGATATTCCTGGCCCGAACTACCCCTCCTGCTCCCAGCTGGCTCAGGGAACTCTCTAGACAAATGGATTGAGTGTATCTATCTAAATGTGTAGCAAGGAAGCTTTACCAGATGACTCTGAAAAAGTGAAAATTACAAGCAAACTAGTTATTTGAATACGTTCCAATGCCTGGATTCTTGCCCAAGTTCAAACTAGCCAGCTTGTGCCTATGGGCCCAACGGAGGACAATCTAGAGATGTCGTCAAAAAAGCTAACTGCTGGAATTTTCTCAGAAAATTCAGCCCTGTAGGAGAAAATGTAAAAGAAGGAATGAGAAGACACTATGACATTTAATGGGAACGGCCTGCAGGAACAAGCTAAGATTTACGCTTGATTTTCTATGGGTTAGTGGTTCAAGAATAAACCAGTAATAATTAAACTGAGACTAAAAATGTTTCTTACCATAATTTCAAATGGCCATAGGTGACAAAAGAAAACAAAAGGCAATGGATCTGAGGAGCAGAATCTGGTTTTAAAAATTGTATGTACAGGGAAGCAATGTTATGGGTGAACCATATTCTAAAACTTTGAAATTCTGTCAAAACATACCCCTGTCAGTCAAACCTAATGTTAAATAAGCTCATAGAGTACTTATAAAGTCAAAATCGATCACACACACACACACACACACACCAGTACACACACAGATACACACACACAGACACACACCACTTTCACAGCAAGTCACATGGCAAAGACCGCACTGTGCTGCAGGTGGATTCTGCAACAGGCGAAATGTCCTCAACATTGTGACCCATCCCTAATCCGGGACAAGAGTCTGGGCTTACCTTCCCTTCAGTGCCCATAATCATCAATTGCCTTTATTTTAGGGCTAGTTTGTCACTCTCGTCAAAAAAGTTTCAGACGCTAGCTGCTGGTCTTGGAGCTTAGATCAAAGTAAAAACAAGGAATATTTTCTTTTCAAACAGAGAGGAATCCTTCATCTTTACTGAGATGTCTAAAAACATTTCAGAACATGTTAGTGCTGTCACGTGGACCAAGTGTAATTATGCAGCACAATGGACTTTTGGCAATAGGTGCCTTCAAACCAGAAGTTTTTGAAAAATTATGAATTATGAAACTAACTGTGTGAAGCTAGAAATTACTGTTAAAAGCCCGTTGGAGATCTTAGCCAGTTTCTTGTAGTCTGTGCTATGCCATGGTCAGTCTAACACACAGACCACCGGTCAGCTTTCCAGATTTGAAAAGCAATCTGGAAGCAAGAGCAGAAACCCTTAAAACTCAACCCCTTTCACCCTTTAACCCAGAAAATCTAGCATATTCTATGCACTCAGTAAATATTCACTGAATTCGGAATGAACAGGTCAGAAGCCTGAAGGGTCAAAGTGACTTGTCCACCCTCACCCTGAGCTGGAGTGAGAAGAAAGGTCCCCAGTTGACAGGCCCGGCTTGGGCTTTCCAGATCTGACCTCCTTCAAAGAGGGAGGATGGTAGATCTCACTTTGGATACCATTAATATCCCCACTTTGGATATGATTAACATTCACACTTTGCATTCTCTTTAAGACAGCTCAGACCTACTGAATGGGAATGTCTCCAGAAGTGGGGCTGGGCAGGCTTATTCCCACAAAGCTCCCTCAGTAGGGAATTCTGACTCCCCTTGGAGTACTTCCCGGGTCCCTTCAGGGGAGCACCTTTACCACTTCATCCTGTAAGAGTCAGGGGTTTGCTCAGCATCCCTCAAGCAGGTTCCACTGCACGCTCACTGACCTGGGGACTGAGCAGCCTCCATGGAAAGTGACCAGACAGAGGGCCGAAGAACTCTGCAGGAACGCAGATTGCTGGACAGCCCACGCTTGTTCAAGCTTCAGACAGGGGCCCATCTTCATGAGCCGGCTTTCTGGGCCCTTTCCCCTTGCTAGCTCTGACATTAAACATTCGCACACACCTGACCTGGATCTCCTGAAACCAGAACTCGGACGAGGCAGTGGCATTTGGAAGTTGAGAGACGCATCTGGAGTCAGAAGGCCTGCGTGTGAATTTCACGTCTGCCTCCTATCAGCTGCGAGAAATTCACTTTAATCCTTTGTACCTCAGTTTCCCCCATAGGAGGGGAGTGCACGCCTCTTATGCTTAACGTGAGGACTGAAAGGACGCAGGAAACAGTGTGTGGCAGTCATTTGCTCTAAGAGCAGCAAGCCCAGAAGTTAGCATGTCCCGGAACCAAACAAAGTGCACCTTGAACAAAGCCGACTGAACTTGATAGACACAGGCCTTCAACAAACTTCTGCTGAAAGAGCTCATCTCCTATTTTAATAATTGCCCCTGAACATTCAGTATTTTATGCTACCGTAATGGAATAGCGTCTGTTCACCTGCTCTCTGTCATCTTCAGGAGCATTCTGAGTGAATGTGGGACAAACAGGCAAATTAAGTGGTATTTATATTTTTCTCAGGAACAAATTTCAAGCCACTAATAGTGTTGTTCAAGCGAGTAACATCAAAGAACAAGAACACCGCTGGAGGGAGGAAAGTGATGCTTTGGAGGTGCTCTGCATGTTTAATTTAAAATAAAGAGAAGAGTCTCTGCTCTTCTGCAGAGACAGGGCTGGCACCTGACTAACAGGGCCACGCAGGCTCAGCAGAGGAGGAATCTTTCCACGAGTTCCTTCAGTGAGAAGAGAAATCCTTTATTATTGGAATCACACCCTACCTTTTCCCTCTTTCCTATATTTGGCAAGATTGTTAAAACTCCAGATGTCCTCAAAGAGCTCTTTGCATTGGCAAGTAATCTCTCCGGAGACTTTAACAATCCTTCTTCCGTCCAGTGATCCCCAAACCTGGCTGCCCAACAGATCACATGAAGAGCATTAAAAAAAAAATCCCAAGTCCAGGTCTTGCCCCATGTCAATTAAATCAGAATGTCTGGGGGTGGGAGCCAGACACTGGTTTCTGTTTTGGTTTTAAAAAATCCCAGGTAATTCTAAACTGCAGCAAGATCTGGGAACCACTGTTCTATGCCTTGTCCCTCCCCCAACGACCGTGCTGGGCACCAAACCCCAACGCCTCATGCCAGTGACATCAACAGCAAGTACGGGCCTGGCTCCTGGAACCCGCGCAGCTCAAGGCTGGAATTGTGCAATTAAACCTGAGGCATGTTTCCCATGTCAAATGGGTTTATGGGGGTAGTCACGAAGCCAGACTCGCTCATGTTCTGTCTGGAGACTTGGCACACGTGAACCAGGGACATCAATCCGGTGTGTGTGAGAGTGTGTGTGTGTGTGTGTGTGTGTGTGTGTGTGTGTGACAGGTTTAATATTTTGGTTGGCCCAATGTCAAATTCTTCAAACAGCAAAGAGAAACATCCAAGAAAGAAACTCCCCGGGTTTTGAGAGGGCAAGTCTGCTGTGAGCCCCATTTTGAAACACCATGGTGTGGCCAGGATGGGCTCTGCTCCCGGAGCTTCCGCGCAAGAGTGCCGCGGTCCCCCCTGGAGTGGCCGGACAGCCGCGGCCAGTTCCACCACGAAGCCCAGGCGCGACCGAAGGGCTGCAGGCGTGGAAGACCCGGACATCCCCGTGAGATGGCCAGCGAACCAGAGCCCGTGGCTTTCGGTGGGGGGCGCCCCGGAGGGAGGTCGGGTCCCCAGAGGGACACACCTGGACCGGCCGGACCAGGGCGCGCCAGGCGGGGCGAGCTGCCGGCCGGGGTCTGCACCCAAGGGGCGGGTCGGACCCCACCTGCCTTTTGCCAAGGAGGAAACTAACTGCCGCCAGCACCACCCCTTCCCGGGAGCCGCAGGTGGTGGCGGACGAGTTCTCCCAGCTCCCAGGTGGAGGCTGCGACTCCACTCGCGGGAACGAGGCTCGCGGGGGCTGGGAGACGGGCCGGGGCCAGGCTGACCCACGCCGGCTTCAGCGTGAGACTCGCGCGGAGGGCGGAGGCGGGGAGGTCAGCTCAGGAAGCCGCTTGTCCCGCGGGGTCCGAGGGGAGGCTGTATTCTCAGGGTCCTTCCTCAGCTTCCCTAAACCGCGCGGCCCCTGCGGGTGGGCAGCGCTGGCCCCCCGGGTGCGTGTTCCGACCCCGCCGCGCCCTGGGAGGACAACGCGCAGCGCCATGCGGGCCCCCGGCCCCCGGTGCCCACCGGCCCACGGACGCAGATCCTGCTCCGAGAAGCGGGAAAGTGAGGGAGAAAAGTTGGGAGCGGTCCGGGCCGCAGGAGGTGCCGGCGGCCGTTCTCCGCCCCGCCCGCAGCCCCGTGCCCTCCCCGTCTCCTCCTCCGCCCGCCGCGGAGTCTCCCGGCCGAGGAACGAAACGTCCCGTTCCTCCCGCGGTCCCGGCCGGCAGCGCAGCTGATCTCAAGGAAACAGGAAAGGACGGGCGGGGGCGCGGGGCACCGAGCCGGTGCGCTGGTGCGCTGCGGAGCTGGCTGCGGGGTCCGGGGCGCGCTCCGGGGGCGGCGCGGGAGCCGGGGGGACACGCCCTTACCTTTCTTTTCCTCCAGAGCCAGACTCGCTGGGCAGAGCGCAGCCAGCAAAGCCAGGAGCGCCGCCCCGGCCGCCCCGGAGGGTCGCATCGCTGCTCCCCGAAGAGCTCGCTCCGGCGCTCCCTGATCAGTCCTGGACGGAGTCAGGCGGCCGTGCGCGGTGGCTGTGGCGGCGGCGAGGCGGGGACTCGGGCGGACGCCGCCGAGGTGGCCTGTCGTCCGGGCTGAGCGGCGGTGGCCCCCGGGGCTCGCTCGGGACTCCGGCCGCCTTCGCCGCGGCGGGCGCTCACACCGTGCGGGGGGCGGAGGCTGCTGCGGCCGCGCGGCGCGGGGGCTGCCCGGACGTCTAGCTCGCGCGGGCCGGGGCGTGGGGAAGGCTGGGCGGGAGGAGGAGGGACCAGGCGGCGGAGGAGGGATCGGGAGGAGCAGAGGAGGAGGAGAATGCGAGGAGGAGGGACGAGAACCAGCAGCGGGGACCCAAGGCCAGCGGCCGCGGGAGACGGTGGACAGCGGTGGGCCCCGCGGGACTCGGGCTCCGGCAGGAAAGGGGCGGCGCGCGGGAAGGGAGCTGGTGCCCTGAGGAGTTAATTTCCGAAGGGGGCGTTCCCAGCACTGCCCCTCTGGACGCAGTTTCCACGGACTTGCAGGCCCAGCTTATGTCGAGGTCGAGCCAAATCTGTGCCAGGGTCCCCTTCCCCCTTTCCATTCTTTTGTTTTGCAAAGCAAACTTGTACCAGCTTTGGACAGATTGGCCAAGCCCTAGAGCCAGCGTCGGATAATGGCACCGACGGGGAAACTGCTCCTTTATTCTGGTCCCCACCTCCCCTGCAGCACCCCAGGACCCTCGCGGGGCTCAGAGGCTGGCCTGGCAGCTGAGGCGGTGGCCGTGCCTGCGCGGCAGTGGTGCCAGGCGTCCGAGGTGCTGATCCAAAATCCGAGGGTCCTTCGGATCCCGTGAAGCACCCTCGAAATTGAATGAAATAAGGGCACTGAACTCCGAGCGCAGATACAGACTTCCTCAATGTTTACTGCAACCGGCCATGGGTACTTTGAAGCCAATGTGTGAGGCACACATTGGGAAGGCACACATTGGCTTCACAAAGGGAAGCTCTTGGAATAAAGGCTTGACACAGCCGTGGAGATACTTTTAGAGAGGCTAAGTGTCCCACTGCCCTGGTAGCTTCCACAGGAGAAATGCCAGGGAAATTCGCTGAGGCTTTGGCTAGAAGAAACTGAGCCGCTTTGGGCTGCAGGAACTTGAGCTACATTCCTTCTGCAAGTCCACCCTATCCCCACTATTCCTTCTCCTACAGGAAAAATGTCCTCTAGGTCCATGTTACAGACCCCTCCTCTTCACAAGGTTCACTAGGACTTTCAGGCCTGATTCAACAACCCCGATTTTCCGGCTCTGTCAGGAACCATAATCCTGAAGTAAGTGGAGCCACAGACCTGCCCTTTGCTGTCTCTGGAGGGGAACAACCTTAATTCTTTCCTTCCCATCCAGCAAAGTGTTTGTGCCTGAGTTTCACACCCTGCAGCCTGAACGGTGGGGTTTTCAGCAGGGCAAGCGCAGACACGGGGTTCTTCACCGCCGGCCCAGCCTGGAACTTCCCCTGTGAATCAGGAGAAGTAATTTGTTCCTTTGTTTTAACGAATCAGGACAGCCACTGCGGGTTGAAGTCAGCCTCTGGATGCAGAGGCTGTGAAGGCTTTGCAGGCACGTGTGTGCTTCCTCCACATATGCACACCTGGGCTGAGAGCAGTCCAAATAGAAACACAGAGAAAACAAAACCAGGGAATGGCAAACGGGAAGCACAACAGTGGAACATAAAATGAAGACAGGAGTGAGTCTTACAATAAAATACATGAATACAGTGAAGTCCTGTGCACTCAGTTAACAAGGACCACTGCATTTTCTGTCAAGGGAATGTGACTTGTGTGCACAAGTCATAACACAAATCAATTTAAGTTGAGAAATGTTGAGTATATGATAAAAATATATTGTTTGCTAAGAGGAATGATGGCAAGGAAAACCTAGCTGTCCCCCTCAGCCCCCACCAAGTGGAAAAGTGCTTGGGGCATTCTAAAGCAGCAAGACAGAATATGTAAATCATACACCGATTAAAACAATTCTTTAAACACGGGGTATGTGACCCTGTGGTGGCTCCCTCGTGGAGAATACTTTCTAGTCTGTCCTTGATCAGTGGTAAGCAGGCATCAGCTGCTTACCTAGTTTATCTTGGTTCTGTGAGAAAACAGGGAACACTGGCTTGTTAATAACTACGTGGGTCAGAGTCTGCTGGAGGCCCTCAGCCTGGAATGCTGTCAGCCCCTGAGGCTCTCAGCTCGGAAGGCTGCTGGCCCCCGGATAGTCCCACTTTGCTGTTGTATCTGGATGTCAGCTTCTTAATGCCTTCAGCACCGCCTGGGTGGTGGTCTCTATGGCTGAGCTGGACTCGGTAAATTTAAGCTATACCTGAATTTTAAGACTGCATTGGAATTTCTTGAGTGCCCCAAAACACGGTGTGTAAGAACATTAGTTCTCACTGCTTTAGGACTTTATGAGAAAACAGCCTTCATAGGGCAGCTTGTATATTGTTCACTGTGATCCGATGGCATCACAAGAAACGGGGCTTTTGGTAAAGAGTTACTAGAGACACACAGCACACTCCTGGGATGGATTCCAGTGAACGGAGAGGAATGGGTTTGCTGAACATCTTCCTGTGAAATCTATGTAAAGTTTGCCTTTCTTCTTTGAGCTTTTGGTATAAAAACTGACATTCAGGCTGACTTTGTAGTCATGGGCCAGTAACTGGAGTGTGCTGATAACTGTGTTACTTGGTAAGTGAAAACTGTGGCTGAGCAGGCAGTAATGACGTCTTCTTGCGAGGGCTAAGGAACCTGGTAAGGGGGGCCCTGAATAGCAGGGCTCCAGCTGACAGTCTCTGTAGAGCATGGTCCCAGACCATCACCGGGAAAGAGGCCGGGTGCCGTGTGCCACCACCACAGGATGACAATAGCAGCCCAGGTGCTGTGCTAAGCATTGGTCAGACTAAGCTTATCTGACAACCTATGAGCTGGATACTTGTATCTGCCTTTTATAGCAATGTGATGCTTTGACCAGGAGAAGTGGCCAGGATCTCAAAGCGTACTTGCTAGTATGAGAGGCAACTCTGAACCCAAGGCAGAGCCATGTTCTGTCCCCCTTGTACTGCACTGCGTATAAACCTGAGACAAATGATAATGTCAGGACCTAAAATTCTACTTCAAAATAGAATTTTAGAATAGAGGAATACCAAAATCTCTGCTTGGCCAAAAAAATTCTAGATAAAGCCTTCATGTATGCCATATTAGCAAGTATGTACTAAGACTCTAGTATTTCCCTTAATAAATCTTGTGTCTGTCAATTTTAATAACACAGATGGATTTGTCCTTTTGCCAGCTGTACATGATAAAATTTTTTTTCCTCTGATGAGTGGTTACCCTCTTAAAAGAAGTTTCTGAGTATGTTGAATAAGAGTTTAGTCTTGTCTATAAGGAACATGTCTCTGAATTTCCTAAAACCAAATGCTTTGTGGAAGGGGAGGAGAAACAGGTTATTTGGCAGGGTGAAGACATGAAGGCTTGAAATATTCTAAGTTCCGTCTTAGGAAAAGGCATTTGACCACCTGTTTTCTCTGGCTTAGAGGTCAAAGCAAAGATTGATTAGGAAAAAAAAAAACACACATGGCAGATTTTAGACTTTCAAAAACTAGGTTTTGTAAACTGCCCGAGCTATAGAAAAGTAGAATAAGCTATTTCAGAGTGGAAAGCTCTTTTTATCTTCAGAAAGTTTTTGTGCAAGAGCAGTAAGTACCAATGGAGGTTGTGAATAAAGGACTGACACAGATTCCTTCCAACCCTAAAGTCCTTTAAGAAAATGCACTTCTAAAATAGGTTTTCCTTTAAACACATGTTCACTTGACAGCTCTTCTAAGAATATATGTTAAGGAGACATAAGAATCTGGTAACCGCTTTGCCTCTAGGGAGGAGAATTAGGTGGCTGGGAGTCAGGGGTTTGGAGGGAGACTTGTGTTTCAGTTGTTTGTCCATCTCTACTGTTGAGATTTTGTACTAGGAGCATGCATCACCTATTTCTGCAAGGTAACTGTGGCCCCTGCTGAGGTTCAAGGGCACTCCTGGGGGCAGACTCTCATGGTTTCTGAGACTGTTTATTCCTTCTCCTTGAGGGAAGTCATTTGCCTTGAACTCTGAGTTGAGACTCGTCTCTAGCTGAATGTGGAATAAGCAGCTTTTTCAAGGAATAATGTGTGGAGAGAAAACTGCTGAACCGTTTCTCCTTTGCATGCTTAATCATCTCTAGAGCTGAGGGTTACATGTCACTGTAAGGACAATCGGCACTCCATTCCAGCAACAAGTAGAAGGCTGAGCAAGCTGAAAAATTAACACCTCTTCTTAGATCTTTCGGAGAATTGAGGTCATAGGGCAAACCACTGTCCCCCAAATTGGAGAGACAGGCAGACACAAAACCACAACTTCCAGGAACAAAAACCAGCAGACAGAAACCTCCAAGGACCCAGTGCCGGATGGGAAAGTTTGCTCTGTAATTGAGAAATTGCAGGAGGCTCAGTGTGGGCAGCTCTTCGAGTTAAGAACTCCAGCAGAGCTCACAGTCATGGGGCAGGGTGGTATGAGACACTTGAGAGTGTTACCTCCTGGAGCTCTGCCAGATCCTTACAACAAATATTAGGGGAAAAATCTCATCATGCTTCTGGCAGTGGGAGGAGAAGAGGAATCATTTTGAAATAGGTCGGCCCAATCCAGAATGCAGTGGCATGATCTCAGCTCACTGCAACCTCGACCTCCTGGGCTCAGGTGATCTGCCAATCTCAGCCTCCTGAGTAGCTCTGACTACAGGCATGCACCACCACATCTAGCTAATTTTTTGTAGAGATAGAGTTTTGCTGTGTTGCCCAGGCTAGTCTTGAATTCCTGAGAGATGGAAGTTTTTTTTTTTTTTTTTTTTTTTTTTTTTTTTTTTTTTTTTTTTTTTTTTTTTTTTTTTTTTCAGGAACTAAAGCTGACTTTATGGAGCCAAGGCTTACAAAGCCCTCTTGGGGAAAAGACACCAGGGTACCAGGCTTACAGCATTCCCTGCTTTACAGATGAGTAAGAAAGGTCACTTCCTGGCCCAGGAAACTTAAATCATCTTAGGGACTCTGAAAAGAGAGTCATTCACCCAAATCTCTAGGTATTGAAGGTGAAGTCTGGTGTTGAGTTCTTGGCTTGACTTTGTAACCTCAAGTAGCTTTTAAAAGTTTAATATTAAGGGACTCCATGTTTGGGTCCCTTTCCACGAATACTCCCCTTGTGGAAGCCTGTCTTCCCCTCCTAAACTCCATTTCTGAGAGATGGAAGTTTTAAGAAAGAATTTAAAAATTCTAGAGATCAAAAACACTGTAAAAGAAATGTAGAATGCTTTTGAAGTACACATTAGTGGGCTGAACATGCTTGAGGAAAGAATTTCTGAGCTTGAAGATATGTAAACAAAAACTGCAAAAATTGAGAAGCAAAAAGAAAAATGACAAAAAGAACAAAACAAAAATTTCAGGAACTGTGGGATAATTACATGTAATGGGAATACTGAAAGTAGATGAAAGAGAGAAAGGAGCAAAAGCAATATTTAAAGCAATAATCCTGAAAATACCTTCAAATTGATGTCAGACAACAAATCACAGATTCAGGAAGCTCAGATAACATCAAGAAGATATACGTCAAGAAAATTCAAACAAACAAATCATTCCTAGGCATATCATATTTAAACTTCAGAAAACACATAATTAAAGAAAAATTCTTAAATGTAGCCAAAGGGGAAAAAAAACACTTACAGAGGAGCCATAAGAAAATACCTAGAGAGAAAATTAGAATTATATTCAATGTATCCTCAGAAATCATGCAAGCAAGAAGAGAATGGAGTGAACCGATATATGTCTTATTCTGCTTGGCCTTCTGTGACAAAATACCATGAGATGGTTTACTTATAAACAACAGAAATTTATTTCCTACAGTTGTGGAAGCTGGGAAATCCAAGATCAAGTTATGTGCAGATTTGGTGCCTGATAAGTGCCCACTTCCTCATAGATGGCCATAATTTCACAGTGCCCTCACATGGCAGGAGGAACAAGGCAGCTCTCTGAGGTCTCTTATGGCACTAACCCCATTTGTTAAGGGCTCTACCCTCATGACATAATCCTTTCCCAAAGATACTCTCTCCTAATAACATCATTTTATGAGTTTAAATTTCATCATGTGCATTTTAGGGGTACATAAACATTCAGTCCATTGAGGTATATTTAAACCACTGACATTTAAGGTAATTATTGACATAGTTGGATTAATATCTACCATATATATATATATATATATATATATTATTGCACTTTAGCTTCTGGTGTACATGTGCAGAACATGCAGGATTGTTGCATAGGTACATACATGGCAATGTGGTTTGTTGCCTCCATCCCCCGTCACCTGTGTCTGGCATTTCTCCCCATGTTATCCCTCCCAAACTCCCTACACCCTGCTGTCCCTCCCCTAGCTCCCCACTACAGACCCCAGTGTGTGATGCTCCCCTCCCTGTGTCCATGTGTTCTCATTGTTCAACACCCACCTATGAATGAGAACATGCAGTGTTTGATTTTCTGTTCTTGTGTCAGTTTGCTGAGAATGATGGTCTCCAGATTCATCCATGTCCCCACAAAGGACACAAACTCATCATTTT